ACACAGGCCAGACCATGGACTTTAGCACTGAATTACTTTGTTTACACTGTCAACTCTGTCATTCTAGCTGTATGACCTGGACAAGTTTTAAACCTCTCTGTGCCTTAGATTTTTAACTATAAAATGGTAAGAAAGGGTTTTTAGAACTTTGCAGGCTTGTCAGTTTTAAATAAGGCAATCACTGTTGAATGCTTCAAAAAGTGCCCTACATGTAATTTAGTCAGTTTTAAGAAGCACATTTTTCACATTTTAACACCTCTGAAATGAGGATATGGATGTGGACATATAATGCAATTAATGGATTGTAATTTTTTAATAAGCATTTTATTATCATTTAATTAGTGAGTTATGTTTTGTTTTGTTTTTTTTAAATACAGCATCTTGCTCTTTGCCCAGGCTAGAGTGCAATGGTGTCATCATAGCTCATGGCAACCTCATATTCTTGGGCTCAAGAGATCTTGCAGCCTCAGTCTCCGGAGTAGCTGGGATTGCAGATGCGCACCACAATGCCTAGCTAACATTTTTTTTTATTTTTGGTAGAGACAGGTCTTGCTCTTGCTCAGGTTGATCCTCCTCCCTTAGCATTCTGAGTAGCTGGGACTATAGGCGTGTGTTACCATGCCCAGCTAATTTTTTTATTTTTTTGTGGAGACGGGTGTCTTGTGGTTGCATAGGTTGGTCTTGAACTCCTGTCCTCAGATGATCCTCCTGCCATGGCCTTCCAAAGTGCCAGGATTACAGGCATGAGCCACCACAGCTCCCTGTTGACACTATTTTTTATCAGCACCGCTGATAAAGGTTAAGGTACCAGTGGGCTTTAGGTGACATGTAGTAGATTTCAATAATTAATAGTAGTTAAGACATTGGTCAATGTTACCTGTCATCAGCAGTATCATCAGTGCTGTCATCATTATCTTTTTACCAAGACAGTGGCATTTGATAGTTTAATAGTGCTAGCCTAGACTATATACCAAATCTCAATTAATCTACTACCTTCTTTTTTTTTTTTTTTTTTTTTTTTTTTTGAGAAAGAGTTGCATGATGTTGCCCTTGGTAGAGTGCCATGGTGTTTCAGCTCACAGCAACCTCAAACTCTTGGGATTAAGCGATTCTCTTACCTCAGCCTCCCAAGTGGCTGGGATTCCAGGCACCCACTACAATGCCCGGCTATTTTTTGGTTGTAGTTGTCACTGTTGTTTGGCAGGCCCGGGCTGGATTCAAACCTGTCAGCTCCGGTGTATGTGGCTGGCTCCCTAGCCGCTGAGCTACAGGAGCTAAGCCTACTACTTTTTTTTTTTTTTAATGTGTTTTAAGGAAAAAAGCCTAGTAAGTCTTTTTCATATTTGTTTCATTTTAGTTCATGTAAAGTATGGGGTCCATTCCTGCAGTGTTTAATTACTCACTGTACTACATGTGAGCGCTACTAAAATGTTCTCCGTTACCTCCAGTTTCTGGAGACAGACAGAGAAGAATTCGTTATTTTCTCTATTGTTGTATTTTCCTAAATCCTTTCCAAAAAGTGCTTTTTTCTTGTGAGCGGAACTGAGCCACCATTGGGCCATTTAAGATTTACAGGTTTGCACTCTCCTGTGGAGGAGAAAAGAAGCAGTTTATTGATCTGTAACAGAGGAATGGACCAGGGCCAAGCCTTTCTGGTCTACACAATGCACTGACATGAGAATCTGTTTATCCTTAAGAAGAATGGGTCCTTATAACTTGAGGCCACCTGTCAGACGTGAGCAATAACTTCAACGAATCCACATGCAGTGCAGTATACAACTGTTCCTTTGCACAGACACTGCCGGGATTCGCGCCCAGGGAAGATGTCTTGCTATTTTACCAGTGATGTGCCTGTAGTTCCTGAATTTAGGTTTTTTCCTCATTTTGATTTTATTGTTCAGTTTGGGGGCAGGTGGGAAAAACCAATTTGGATCTGAGATAAAGATCCTTTGCCAGGGGAAAGAGGGTCAATAACAGGAGAGAACCTTGGGCCAAAGTTTACAAAGCTTGACTAGGAAGATTCTGGGCACATCTCCATCCAAATACCTTGGTGTGCACTTCATTAGCGCACAGCACACGTACGTAGCTTGTCTCTTCTTGTCTTCTGCTTTGCCCTCAAGATTTTAAATGGTGGTATTTATAAGCTATTATGAAGCAAGAGTACAAGCACACAGGCTGTGAAGGGCCAGTAAACAGGGTTTGGCTTAGGCTTTTGCTGTTTTTGACTGTTAATAGTATAATAAGTTGAATAACTCCAGAAGCTGGGCATCTGCTCCTTTGTGTCCCCACCACAGGCAGACCTCACTTTTTTTCTCATAAAGCTACGTTTGTCAGACATTTATAGACATTCACTCCTATTCTTAAAAGGTAAGTGCTTGCTTGGGCCAGGCAGGGTGGCTCATGCCTGTAATCTTAGCATTCTGGGAGGCCCAGGCAGGAGGATCACTTGCACTCAGGAGTTCAGTACCAGCCCGAACAAGAGTGAGACCCTGCCTCTACTTAAAATAGAAAACACTAGAAGGGCATTGTGGTGGGTACCTGTAGTCCCAGCTACTTCGGAGGCTGAGGCAGGATGATCTCTGAAGCCCAAGAGTTTGAGGTTGTTGTGAGCTGAGACCCTGTGTCAAAAAAAAAAAAGAAGAAGAAGAAAATAATGCCCACTCTATATCTCTAAAGCCTGCAGTTTGTTTGAGCTAACTGACTGCACAGAGGGTGTTACTCTCCAAGTTCCACAGCCCGGAGCTGAGGAAGGGCCTTTGTTTCTTAGAGAAACAGATGATTGCCCATCCTGTGCCCCTGCTGTGCTGCCAGCCTGAGACTAGGAGTCAGCAGGAAAGAGAGGTTTAGAATGTGGTCTCTCCAGGTGGAGGAGGGCTAGTCACTGTTGCCAGTGCAGGGGAGCATGTGGGTCACAAGCATCCAGTAAAAGAAAAGGGATTCTTTTGAGTTTGCTCTGAGTTATTTTCACAGTAGTCAGCTTTAAGGAGAGAAAAATTTCACTACCTAAGCAGCAAAAAATTCTCACCCTTTGTGATCCAAGTGATCAGCCATTTCCTTTTCCTTTTTATTTACTTATATTTCTGACCCCTAATCTCCGTGATTGTGGCCTGGTAGTTTCCTTTTACATAGCATTTTTTTAGTACGTTTTCTATTCTTCTGTGGTTTTAAAGAAAAGAAAACCAATATTGATAGAAGGGATCTAAATATTTCTTTTATGGAATTACTACTACAAAAGTAATAAAGAAGTTAAACTTATCCATAGACAACCACAAGGAGCATTTTGGTATATTTACTTCTACTTGTTTAAATGTATAAACAGATACATGTTTTTAATAAAATTGGATTTAGGATGGTAGATAGTTCTGGTTTTTCTTCTAATCAACATGCTTTGAGTATTTTACCATATTACTTTAAAACTCTTGATTTCAGTGGCTAAATTAGAATCTAGTGTATACAGGTATTATTTTAATATTCTGCTGTTGGGATCATGTGGGTTTCTGAATAGCTTAGAATTTGTTTAGCTCAATTTCTTCTCATTTTGTGAGTCTAGAGTTGGAATTTGGGCACAATAGAAATGGAATATTTCTGCACGTATCATTGTTTGCCTCTTTAGGCCAATATTTTCTAGAAGGGATTTACAAAAAGCAAAGGTAGTATTCGTGTTCTTTTTCTGTTTTTTTTCCCCGTGATTTTCTTTTGTTGTTTTAAATTCTGTGATTATTTTTTTATTTTTTTATTAAATCATAGCTGTGTACAGTGTGCTGTTTTGATATATAATTCGAAATATTTTCATCAAACTAGTTAACATAGCCTTCATGTCATTTTCTTAGTTATTGTGTTAAGACATTTATATTCTACATTTAGAAAGATTCACATGTAATACATCTTACTGTAGTCATCTTAACTTTAAAATCCAGAAAACTTTAAGGGCTACCAAATTGATTTGAAATCCTAGTTATCTAGGTACTTGCTATTATCTATCCATTATTAAAAGAGAAATTGATTTCAGGTATTTAAAAGTTACCTGAAAAGCATTTAAACTTTTCAGGTAACTTTTGAAAAATCAATATAAAGTTAGAAATATGTTGCCCAAAATGAACCCTAATGTTTCACTGTGTGTTGTACTATGTCATTGGAAATTTATCTAACAAGATAGTGGAGATACTGAAGATTTTATATTTTAAGAAGAAAACTGGGCTCGGTGCCTGTGGCTCAAGTGGCTAAGGCGCCAGCCACATACACCTAAGGTGGCGGGTTCGAATCCAGCCCGGGCCCACCAAACAACAAATACGGCTGCAACCAAAAGATAGCCAGGTGTTGTGGCGGGCTCCTGTAGTCCCAGTTACTTGGGAGGCAGAGGCAGGAGACTCGCTTGAGCCCAGGAGTTGGAGGTTGCTGTGAACTGTGATGCTATGGCACTCTACCCAGGGGGATAGCTTGAGGCTCTGTCTCAAAAAAAAAAGAAGAGGACTGACTGAATCATATTCGTTTTAGAAAGGTGATTGCGTGGGAGAAAGGTGGTGTTGGCAGAAAGATTTGAGGTGTCTCAAAAGAATTCCATGAAGTTAATCTTCGCAAAAATGTAAACATTTGGTGCAAGAATTGCTTTGAAATTGCAGTTGAATAAATGAAACTTTTGAACCAACGTTTGGAAAGGAGGAGGATAAGCTTAAAAATCAAAAGTAGTTTGTGTACTGTTGTGGATTGACGCATTAGGAGGCCATTTGTTTTTGAAGACCACCCCCCTATTACATTTCTGGAGAACCTGTTTTGTTTCCCATGGAGGATTATGTTTAGTGACCTTTCAACACCTACGAACAGGGTAGGGTAGGTGCATCGTGGGTGTTCTCTCAGCACTGAATGGCCAAGTCCTGTGGTCTCCCCCATTCTGATTTGCTTTCCCTCCGTTAGAAGTCATCTTTATAAACTGAAGTCTAAGATGCAGTGTCGTACGTGTTTCTAAATGATCCATTTTGATGGGACGCTCTTTATTGTTTCAGGTTGAATGCGTTTGGGAACTTGATGCATAAAATTTGCACAACTCCTCACTTTGCGGATCTGTCATTGGATTTGAGCCAGCATGGCTCACACCACAAAGGTTAACGGCTGCACCTCAGGTAACTCTCGGCTCTGGAATGTGTGTCTGTGTTAAATGTATGTTTTTGTTGAAACTGATTTTTATTTCTCTTTTAATAATGGATAGATAATAGCAAGTTGCCTAGATAACTAGATTTCAAAGTAATTTTCTATCCATTGGAGTTTTGTTTTTTTAATTCTCTTAGAAAATTTGCTTTCTTTTTTTTGTCATTTTAGTTTTTTTTAATTTTTTAAATTCTTTTTTTATTGAATAGTAACTGTGTACATTAATGCACTTCTGAGGAACAGTGTGGAGAAAATTTGCTTTCATCTTAGAGTCTTTATGTATTGAAATCAGTCAGGTAAATTATTACCTAAGCCATTCTGTTGACATATTGAGAGATAAATATAAAATCCTGTGTGCTGATGCAAGTAGAATGTATAGTCCTCTTGCAGTTCTTTCTGAGGACTGAATGAGGAAAGAGGAAATGGGTTTGATGCTTAAAACCAATCCCTGCTATCCACTCCCAAGCAGCTTTTCTTTAAACAAAGACGATGGGGGTGGGGAGTGGGGCGGAGAAGAAGAGTATATTCTGTAGTGTGATTCTCCCAGAGAGGAAGATGCAAGAAGTGATATTATGAATTATTAAAACCTGTATTCTGATTCTTACTTTGGTCATATTAGTGACTATGTAGTTTGCATAACTATTCCAATATTGCGTATATAAGATTTGGGAAAAGAAACAGAGAAAATCCTTGTAAGAGATGATCCATGACCAGAAGTTTCTGAAAACCTCTTCAAAATAGCATGCCATGCATTCTTTTCTCTTTTGAGTTTTCTTGCAAATAGCTGAATGAATGAGAGCAATAATCGTCTATGTGGAAATTTTTTCTGAACACCTTGAGTCCAAGATTCTAGTTCTGTTGGCTCTGATCAATGGCAACATTATATACTGGAGGGAGCGTGGAATTAGAGCCAGTAAACCTAAATTAGAGTCCTAGTCCCAGCACTAACCATGAAATGTTGGGCAGGGCTATTTCTCCGTAAGTAAAACATTGGTAAATGTATTCACCTGCAGGTTTAGGACCAGCAAGAGCACCAGAAATGTACTTACAGGTCCATGTCATAAACAGTAAAGCACTTTTAAAGATGAGATTAGGAGAGACCTTTGAAATGTACGTTTCCAGCCCATGTCCATGACTTCATGACTTTATTCCAGCTGGCAAGGACCCTATAGCTTGCCCAGATAAACTCAATTGTTTTCACTATACAGCTTCTCAAGACTTAAAGATTTTTCTCAGGGACTTCTGTCAGTACTTAAAGAAGAAATGATGATATCTAACATTGATCAAACACAAAATAGGTACCATGGTGCCTAAAATGCTTTGCCCTCACTGTTGTAATCAATCCTTGCACTAATCCCATGAGCTTATGTGGTTGTCTTCATGGTCACCGTCATCATCCCTGCGTGATGGCACAGAGAAGTTTGGTGATTTACCTAAATGAAATAATAAAAGTTGGGATTATTATCTGTTTCTCTATGAAAATATTTGATAAGAAGGGAGATTGGAACGTTGTGACATTTTGAGTGCAGTGGGTGTGTATTTCAGTCCCCCCAGGCTGTGGTTTCCCTCCTTTTCCATTTGCTTCCACTTAAACACTCAGGGGAACAGCTGAGGGTATCAGTGCCTCAGGGGACCCTCTGGTATCTCTGGCAAAAATCTTGTCTCCAGAAATTAACATACCCACTCCTTTGGCCCCGAATTCCTTTTCCAGCTGGCTTATTCCGCTCTTCCCTTTTTCCTTTGTACCTAAAGTCTCTGGATCCAGCTATAACTTTTTCTTCTCTGTTTATGTCTTTCCTGACAGGCCTGGGCATTGAGTTTGAAAGAAAAAGAAAGCGCTCTGATTTGTGTCCTCCAGTGTAGCTGGCTATAAATTATTTCTGCAGACAGGTGTCCAGACTGGGCAAAGGAAGGCTTTATTAGTCATCATGACCCCTGTAAGCAAATCTGATTAGAGGCTCAGTCATCAAAAGTTTTTTCCATATATATATGTATATATATATGCACACACACAGAGTCATATACACACATACATACACATACATGTGTATGTATATATGATGCTCACTGTAGACAAAAATATAGAATTGTCATATTGTCTAAAAAAAAATAAAGCAAGGTAATACTACCACCTAGGAATAAATGTTTTGCTATTTTTCAGGTAGTATAAATTTTATATATTTAGTATGGTTGAGAATGTGCTTGTAAGAACCATTCTTTTGGGGCAGCACCTGTGGCTCAGTGAGTAGGGTGCTGGCCTCATATACTGAGGGTGACAGGTTTGACCCTGGCTCCAGCCAAACTGCAACAAAAAAATAGCCAGGCGTTATGGTGGGCCCTGTAGTCCCTTCTACTCAGGAGGCTGAGGCAAGAGAGTTGCCTAAGCCCAAGAGCTGGAGGTTACTGTGAGCTGTGATGCCATGGCACTCTACCAAGGGAGACAAAGTTAGACTGTTTTAAAAAAATAAATAATAAAGAATAGTACCATTCTTTCAGCCTGTAACCCCAGCATTTAGGGAAGTCAAGGCAGGAAGATTGCTTGAGCCAGGAATTCAAGACCAGCTTGGGCAATATGAGACCTTCCTTGTCGTCACGTGCCCCCCCCACCCCGCCCCCCGCCTCCGGTCCCCCAGTATAGCTATAGCTGGGTATGGTAGCACATGACTGTAGTTCTAGCAACTCTGCGACTTGGGAGGTTGAAGCCGGAGGGTCACTTGAGCACAAGAGTTCTAGTTGCAGTGAGCCATGGCTGAACCTCTGCACTTCAGCCTGGGGGAATGAATCAATCTGTCAGTCAATATTTTTTTTTTACCATTTCTCACTTTGTATTACAAAAGAAACACCTTTTTTTGTTAAAAAAAATACTCAATGCAAAAGCATATGCTGGTTATAAATGGACTATTTGGAAATATTATAACATTAGGACATTTTATAGATCCCAGATGAAGATGAGATAGAGACCCATGTGGCAAGTAATGACGGCCAGTTACTAGTCTTTCCTATAGGAAAGATAAGTTACTTGCTTTTTTAGTAGGAGTTTTTAAGTATGGAAGATATTATCATGTTGGTTTTTTTTTCATCCTCCAAAGATGCTTTTAAAAACTGTCCTATACCTGGATGTGTTGTGCTGTGCCTAAAAGGGGGCTCTCCCTTTCATCCCCCTGAAAATTACTGCTTTGGGCTCTGTAGAACACGAGGAGAAATCTCATGTGAAGGTGAAGCCAGAGATGTGATAAAAGAACCACTTTTCATGGACCTAGAAACAAAGCAGAAGCAAAGAGGAGCAGCTGAGAAAAGTACCAAAAGTCCAGACTGTGCCCTTGGCTGCAAAATGCCTGGTGACTGGTCATCTCACCTTGACATCCCTGTTTAGGGTTTAAACTAGGCGTCCTCCAACTACAGCCCGCAGGCCTCAGGCTGCCCGCCTAGGACATTTATCCGGCCGGCCGGGTGTTTTTCCCGCCTCTGCCTGTCCTGCTTAGCAGCCAACTCGTCCCAGGGCCCGCAGTCCAGCCCTCCAACGGTCTGAGGGACAGTGAACTGGCCCCCTATTTAAAAAGTTTGAGGACCCCTGGTTTAAACTGAGTAAAGGGCAACTCACAGACTTTATGTTCTGACTTCCCCAGGGAGTCCTTCGGTTAGAGTGAGTAAAAGGTACTGATTTTAAAAGAAGAGTAATTCATTAATGCTATACTTTGTAAAATGTGTTAGGGTACATTTCAGACACACAGAATGCATCAAGATTATGTATCAAGCACTGTCTACACATCACCTAGTTTAAGAAATAAACCATATTTAGTACATGGCAAATACAAATGAGTACTTTCTACATGCCAGGCTCTCTGATCTCTTGGCGATGCGACGGTGTACCAACTAGGCAGAGCCCTCTGCCCTCCTCAAGGGTTGTACATTCTAATGAAAGTTGAAGTGTACAGTTGCCAGATAACATAGAGGACCTGCTTATTCTAAAATAGTATTAATTGTTTATGTGAAATTCAGTTTAACTGGGTGTTGTAAGTTTTCATTTGCTAAAACTGACAGCCCTCCCTGTGTTCCCCTTCCAGACCTTATTCCCCTGCTCACCGCCCTCCCACCATCACTACCAACCATTTGTCACTGGGTTTCTTTGTCACTAGGTCCTCTTTCCTATTTCTGTTGACTGGTACGGTTTTGTTTCCATTAATTTAAAATGTTTTATTATGGCATTGCTAACAGTACCATAATGTCTTTTGTTAATGTAATGAGATAAGGGGATCATAAATGGCTCCTGACTGTTCCCTTCTCTCGTAGCTAGCTAGGAAGTAAATGGGAATGGTTGGTTAGGAAAACAGCTGTATTTCTTCAGAGTTTAGGGATGGGGACAGCCTGCTTATCCCCAAGTTTCTGAATCATGCTGTAAACTGGATGCACTGATTGATACCTCTTTAAACACTAATTAATGTTGAGAAACTTTAATTAGAGCTTAGAATTGCTTTAGTAACAAAGTGGCTTATTTGTCAAATGGAGATAATAATAGCTATCCTACCTTCTCACAAGATGGTTATAAGAAAAAAAAATAAAGAAATAGCCGTAAAAACACTTTTTTTTTTTTTGAGACAGAGTCTCATTGTCACCTCGATAGAGTGCTGTAGCGTCATAGCTCACAGCAACCTCAAACTCTTGGGCTTAAGTGATTCCCTTGCCTCAGCCTCCCAAGCAGCTGGGACTACAGGCGCCCGCCACAACACCCAGCTATTTTTTGGTTATAGTTGTCGTTGTTTGGCAGGCCCAGGCTGGATTCGAACCTGCCAGCTCTGGTGTGTGTGGCTGGTGCCCTAGCTGCTGAGGTACAGGCGCTGAGCTTGTGAAAACACTTAAAAAAACATAGCACTGGTCAGATGTCAGGGATAAGAACGTTCTCCTTGCTCTCTTGTCTCTGTCACAAGCTCCTCATCAAGTAAACACCTGCTTAGGTACAGGTACCTGTTGTCAGGCC